TCTCATGCGCTGATATGATTCAGCATGTGTATCCCAGACACTTTTGCTCCGATTGTTGCTCGCATGCAGGAAGAGAGGTCATTGTGCTCGGAGGTCGTCACAGGAGAAACTGTGCTATGAATAGAGGACAATAAAGGACGTTATGACTTTGTAGATAAGGCACGAGGAAACGCACTCAATGGAGGCTCAATTGTGTGATCAGAAACAGACAACAACCAGACAACATTACAGTCACACAGATATCAGAAGAGTTTCGCTCTTATACAAACAGTCAGGATAGTGTCAGGATAAAACACAACCTCCTGGAACTTCGGCAAACATGTGAGCACATGGAAACTATGAGTTAATGACAGTAAACCTTTAACATTCATGGAATCGTTCCATTAATCAAAAGAACAAATAGAACAGAAAAAAAAGGTTTTTAGATCATTAAAATGTTATTTAGACTAAGAAAAATGGTTCTGGAATGAATCACTGTTAGGTTCTTTGGAACCAAAACGGTTGGCAAAACCCTCTTTTGAAGCCTTTATTTTAAAAAGTGTAAAGGAATTGAGTAAGACATTGCCAATCTAAATTCTCCTAACAAAGGCTCCAGAGACCGGCACAATTTTCCACCAGAAAACCGCAGAAATCCTCCAGAGACTCCAGCCTCCACCAAACAAGCTCCACTGCCATTAGTTCTCAGCGGCACACGTGAATGTGCCAAACACTGAGTCCTGAAAAAATCTGAGTGACACCAAACCCACGGGCTCCGTTTCAGTCTGCTGAGATTCTCAAAACAGCACAATCACTGCCAAAGAAACGATACAGTTACTGAACACAGCTGACGTCATTACGGCAGAAGAAAAACAAACAAACACAAACAAAAGCGGAGAACATCCAGATATACTCCCGCAGAATCACAGGCCTCGGGCCAACAGAGGTTTCACGTGCTCCCAGACGCAGCTGGTGTTTTTAAAGGTCCCATATTGACAAAACTGAAATTTCCTGGCTTTTTTCATGATAACTGAGGTCTAGGGGCTATTTAACTACCATATAAGTTTCAAAACAGTCAGTCCACAGTAAAATTCACACAGCCTGCTTAAAGTAGCTGTGATTTTTCACGAACCGTTTTGACTTCCGTAAAAAGTCGACGTTAGAACTACAGTCACCGCCTTCGGTCGCCCCCCCCGAGCACCGCCCACCGTCCCACTCTCCTTTAGCCAAACCCCCAGACAAGGTTTAACCACAGCTGTCGTCGGTTTTTTTGTCTGGCAGTGGCAGTAGATATGCGATCAAATTTCTAATTTGAGGCTGTATTACGTCGATTCTGGCACCCAACATCACAACAAGATGATATTTTAAGCTCCTTATGTAGCCGAATCTGCGCTGGTTTGAATGGGAATAATATATATATATTCAGTGTTGGGGGTAACACATTCCATGTAACGCGAGTTACGTAATCAGATTACTTTTTTCAATTAACTAGAACACATTACATTTAAGTTACTTTGTTTTCCCACTGATTCACTGACAGCTCTCCTGTCGTCATGTAGTTCTAGACCAGTGTTGGGCTAGTTACCCCAAAAATCTAATTTATTACTCGTTACTAGTTACTCCTTTCAAAAGTAATATTATTACTTCTGGCAACAATAATTAGTTACACTACTAGTTACATTATTTTTCCTTCACGCCCCACAGAAGTTGTAATTGTGTATCTCCCCCATAAAATACTTCTAAAATGTTACTAACAATATATTTCTGTCTCATCATTTGACCCAAAAGAAATCACATAAGTTCATAAGATTTTTAATTTATATCGGGATCAGAGGGATGTGGTTGTAATGCCAGAGTAAAGTAATGCCACAACTTACACATCTGTGTTCAGATCAGCTTTTCTCCTGACAAAATCAGTGTAATGGCAATATTTCCATCCCCTGAATGTAAGCTTAGGCTTTCCTGATGCACTGGTGACTTCATGTGCCTCTGCGAGTCATGAAAATTATGGAAATGAATTTAGGAATTATTGGATTGTTGGATTTCAAATCAGTAGGGGTTGAGGCATCAAAAGTAACTAGCTGTTTTATGGATGGTAACTGTAATATTATCACTGAAATTTTATTAGTGATTAGTTACACTACTAGTTACTGCAAAAAGTAATATTATTACAGTAACTAGGGTTGCAAAAAGGTGGAAAATTTCCAGTAAATTTTGGAAATATTCCAGAAATTTTGGAAACTTTCCAGGATTTTTTAATTTTTTTTTATATTCCAGGGCTTTTTGGAAAGTTTTTGGAAATTTACCGGGAATTTTCCACCCCTTTGCAACCCTAACAGTAACTAGTTAATAGTAACTAGTTACTGCCCAACACTGTTTCTAGACTAAATGTCAGCGAAATGCAAACTCAGAATATTACGCAAACCTGCAGTAATTAATTATGTTAAGCAACACAAATATCCTTATTTAATCCCATTTTACTAACCAATGTCTTTGCTGCTGACCTTCAGTTATCCAATTTAACCATACTAACAAGGAAAAATGACTTTAGATAAACATAACATCTGTGACCCTGGAGCACAAAAGCAGTCTTAAGTCGCTGGGGTATATTTGTAGCAATAGCCAAAAATACATTGTATGGGTCAAAATTATAGATTTTTTTTATGCCAAAAATCATTAGGATATTAAGTATGTTCCATGAAGATATTTTGTAAATTTCCTACCGTAAATATATCAAAACTTAATTTTTGATTAGTAATATGCATTGCTAAGAACTTCATTTGAACAACTTTAAAGATGATTTTCTCAATATTTAGATTTTTTTGCACCCTCAGATTCCAGATTTTCAAATAGTTGTATCTCGGCCAAATATTGTCCTATCCTAACAAACCATACATACAGCAATGGAAAGCTTATTTATTCAATTATGACTGGTTTTGTGCTCCAGGGTCACATTTGTGTTTAATTTTTTTCATTGCTGAAGAGTGTTGAACTTTCTTCTCCTGCGTCCTATTCTTCATGCAATCCAGAATGCCAGCACAGCTGAGAGGTTTGAGCTGCGCCCTCTACTGTACAGACGTGAATTTACATTTTCTTCAGCCTATTCATTTCACTTTCAGTGTGAAACGGCTTTTACATTTGCCAAAAATAGTATTTTTTATATTAAAAACAGACATGCAAGCCCATCCCAGATTTAAATAGTAACGCAAAAGTAACGGAACACATTACGTTCCATAAAAAGTAAAGCAATAAGTTACTTTTTTTAGGGAGTAACGCAATATTGTACACTCTCAGAAAAAAAGGTACAATAGTTTTCACTGGGGTGAATGCATTACTTTTAAAAGTACCTTTCCCAGAATGAAGAGCATCTTATCTACAGCAGAGAACCCTCACGTTTAGGTTAAAGCTGCTCTGTAAAAACTCATCTTACCAAAAGTGACCAGCAGCTCAAAGCTCGTGATCCAACAAAACCTGGTGTGAACCCTTAAAATACTACAGGACCGCAAGATGTCTCAGCAGCTGAAGATAACTCCACGGCTCAATGAAATTAATGGAAACATTAGCGGTTATGTAACAGGGATCCATATTTAACCCGTAGCACTGGGACCTGCACTGCTCATAACACCAATTACTGAAACCCACTGGAGAGCAACTCTGTCTTACAGTGCGTCCCTATTAAGGGCCGTTAACCATTTACGACCCAACAGAGACCCACCTCAGATTAGAGCTTCTCAGAATTACATTCAAGGTTCAGGACGTGCTAAAATCATCGACAGCAGTGATCTCAGCAGTACTTTTAGTTAGAACAGGGCTCCATATTTAACCCGTAGCACTGGGACCTGCACTGCTCATAACACCAATTACTGAAACCCACTGGAGAGCAACTCTGTCTTACAGTGCGTCCCTATTAAGGGCCGTTAACCATTTACGACCCAACAGAGACCCACCTCAGATTAGAGCTTCTCAGAATTACATTCAAGGTTCAGGACGTGCTAAAATCATCGACAGCAGTGATCTCAGCAGTACTTTTAATTAGAGTATATTACATTTTATAATGCTCATAATCAGATTGCAGTTACTTTTTATGGATTACGTGATTACACATAGCATTCACACAATGGCAATTAATTATTCATAATACATTGATTCCCCCGAATTCTTATTTAAATTTTCCTTTATAAGCAATTATACTATGTATGAAACAAATAAGTCATGTAATGCAGGGATTCCCAAACTTTTTTTGTCAGGCAAACCCCTTGAAATTACATATTTAGTTGAAATATCTCTGAGGAAGTTCATATTTCAATAATTTAACAACAGGTACGTTTAAATGGCAAGTTTAAAACAAGTTAGATAAAAAAAAAGTAATCTAGAAGTAATCTAAAAAAGTAGTCAGAATACATTACCTAAAATGAGTAACCTAGACTACAGTTTTCATCATGTAATCTGTAATCATTAATAGTGGTCGACCGATATATCGCCAAGGCCGATGCATGTGATGCATTAATGAAATCTGATCTCAGCAGTGATATAAACAACTGAAATTATGCATTAAATCTGATCTCAGCAGTGATATAAACAACTGAAATTATGCATTAAATCTGATCTCAGCAGTGATATAAACAACTGAAATTATGCATTAAATCTGATCTCAGCAGTGATAAACATATCTGAAGTGATGCATTAATGAAATCTGATCTCAGCAGTGACATGAACATAACTGATGTAACAATAACATCTGATCTCAGTGATATATTAGTGAAGTCTGATCACAGCAGTGATAATAGCGCACAAATATCAACGCGTAGTGCTGGTACCTGCGCGTGACAGGCTCTGCCATTAAACCAGCGAACGGAACGTGACCGTGATCAACACACAAAATAATAAACACTACAACACAGCCATAGGCGCGAGCGAGCGAGCTGCTGTTGGTGTTTAAAGAGAGTACATTTACAAACACCGCCTGTGCGCGACCTACAACATACAAGTGTGTGTGTGTGTGTGGTGTGTGAACACACACTCACCTGTTTCTGTGTTTCTCCCCGCTTTTACCGCATGGCAGAAGCGCAAACACACACGGCTCGGCAGGTGACGGCGACTGTCAGTGAGTTTCTCGGTTTAATGACTAAATGAACGGCCGCTTGTGTGAGTTTGTCTCGCGCTCCGCCTCACCGACCCCTCGCGCGACCCGACAGCGCCTCCACCTGAGCGCAGGTGAACGTGCCATCCAAACTAGTTTTTCACAATCGCTAAAACACATTTCTTGAAAGCATCACTAATTTTCTCAAAACCTTAAACACAAATCCAAATACTCAAACTAAATTCACAGAGCCCCTGACTCTTCTGGCAAAATCAAGCAATCGCTTCAAAACCATTTCAGCTGTGCTCAAAATCAAACAAAGCTTTCAAATCACACACACATTCATCAATAATACACACGCTACAGATCATTCATTAGACACTACATCAAAAAATGGAGAACACAGTGTCCAGTGCATGTAGTTACAAAAAAAATGTTTATTGTATATAGTAGGCTAAATACTGTAAGGCGCACACACACACACACACACACACACACACACACAAAGAAAGACCTGAGTTTGGTGAATATATATATACAGTGTGTGTGTGTGTGTGTGTATATATATATACAGTATATATACACATGCATACATACATATGAATCAGAGGACTTCATCTACGTCGCAGGCAGGCAACTGGGAAAAAGGCCTCTGGTGTGACGGATCCAGCCTTGATAAGACAGCACGTTTAATGTATGTCACCACAGCCCTAACGTGATAGTCTTGCAATTCTACACAAGATTCTCTTCCACTCTTCTTTTGCACTTTCCAACTGATTCTGGTGGCCACAGAGAATCTGCTCAGATTAGGTTGAACTCTTTGTCCTGCCTGTCGTTCCACACACAATACTGTAACATGCTCAATCACAGTAGCTCTGATTTCATCTGAAATGACTGTTCTTGGTCTTGCTCTTCCTCGTCCTCCTCTTCTTCTGCCTCTCAGAGTGACGGATGCACCCGTGCCATCTGTGCACTTTGAACCGGCTTATATTTTGTACATTCACATATTTAGAAACAAGTGTGAACAGTTTTGAATTATCGTGTGTAAACGATGATGACCGTGTTGCAGTTGTGCTTAACTTCGGCTTTCTTGTGTTTAGGGTTTTGCATCGCAAGGGTTTTGCATTGCATTTGCATCTATCTATCTATCTATCTATCTATCTATCTATCTATCTAATAATAATATCCCAGATAGAACAGGTACGTCTGCAAGAGGTCTGTTAAAGATCCTTCATCTGGAAAGCATCTGCTGTGTACAAACATCTGACAGATGTCTTTAAGAGGTCAGTTTCACATGCATTCTAATTCATAAAGACATCTTCTAAACATCTATTTGACATCTGATAGGAGACGTCCTTTAGATGTATTGCAGATGAGCGAACACTCTAAAAAACACGTCTTGCAGATGTAAATGTGACGTCAGATAGACGTCTCCGTGATGTACGTGTGCTGTCAGGGATCTATTTACTGTAAGAATGACGCTTCAGATAAAGCAGCCCTAAAAGTAAAATGGCCAAACACACACCATTCTCAACATCCACATCACCAGCTGGAAATATGAAACCTTATTAATTTCAAACACTGTCTGATGATAAAGGGGATTTATTATTGGTAGTTCAAACAGAGCAGAACAAAAGATCTGTTTGACTCTGGGTGTGACGGTGAGCTACATGAGTCCTGCTTTAACCTCGATATTTATTGGAAAATAGTTAGTAATACCTTACTGTCAATATTTAACAAAAGATCAGTTCAATTCAAAGGAAAAAGGAGCATTTCTGGTACGTCATGTACCAGGTGATGCGTGTGTGAGTGATGCGTGTGTGAGTGTGTGTGTGTGTGTGTGTGTGTGTGACGTGTGTGTGTGTGATGTGTGTGTGGAGTGTGTGTGTGATGTGTGTGTGTGTGTGTGATGTGAGTGAGTGAGTGTGAGAGTGTGTGTGCGTGTGTGTGTCTGTGTGTGAGTGTGAGAGTGTGTGAGGTTGTGTGTCTGTGCATGTGTGTGTGTGTGTGTGTGTGTGTGTGAGTGTGAGAGTGTGTGAGGTTGTGTGTCTGTGCGTGTGTGTGTGTGTGTGTGTGTGTGTGAGTGTGAGAGTGTGTGAGGTTGTGTGTCTGTGCGTGTGTGTGTGTGTGTGTGTGTGTGTGAGTGTGAGAGTGTGTGAGGTTGTGTGTCTGTGCGTGTGTGTGTGTGTGTGTGTGTGTGTGAGTGTGAGAGTGTGTGAGGTTGTGTGTCTGTGCGTGTGTGTGTGTGTGTGTGTGTGTGTGAGTGTGAGAGTGTGTGAGGTTGTGTGTCTGTGCGTGTGTGTGTGTGTGTGTGTGTGTGTGAGTGTGAGAGTGTGTGAGGTTGTGTGTCTGTGCGTGTGTGTGTGTGTGTGTGTGTGTGTGAGTGTGAGAGTGTGTGAGGTTGTGTGTCTGTGCGTGTGTGTGTGTGTGTGTGTGTGTGTGAGTGTGAGAGTGTGTGAGGTTGTGTGTCTGTGCGTGTGTGTGTGTGTGTGTGTGTGTGTGAGTGTGAGAGTGTGTGAGGTTGTGTGTGTGTGCGTGTGTGTGTGTGTGTGAAAATAATCCTCGCTTTACTAGTGTTGGGGAGTAACTAGTTACATGTAATTGTGTTACGTAATTTAATTACAAAATAAATGTAACTGTTACAGTTACTGAGATTTAAAAAAAAATTAAATTACAGTTACTTATGAAAATTGTAATGATTACAAAGGGGGTTACATCTGAATACTTCTTGTATTAATATTTACTATTTCTTGTTATGATTTTAAATCTGTATTCAACCTCAGAACGATCTCAAAGTAAAAAGATGTGCTAAAGTCTGATTTTGTAGCGGCTGTTCTTTAAAATTAAATTATTATAATCTTAATTCAAGAAATGAAGGATTTCGAAAGTCTGACAGTAATCAGTGTTGAGTACTACTGTTTAAATGTTTGAACATGATTAACAGTTTAGAAATGTAGAAAAGTAATCAAATGTAATCAGTTACATTACTTTAATAAAGTAATTGATGTAACCTTCCCAGCACGGCTCTTCCCTTACTTAGGCCAATATATTTCTTGCTTAATCTAGGTGTTATTTTCCAAAAATGAAACCGTGTAGAAGCTAGTATAATGAAATGTAAGCTTTCTTTCAGTAGTAAATAACATAGCATAAGTAATTATTTTAATTTAACAGTGCATTCTATATATAAATTAAAAAGTAAGTATGTTGCGGTAAAATATAAACACAATAACCGTATAACAGTAACATTCACTGTAAGTATGGCATGTGTTACATGGTTGTAGTTCTATCATTGTTTCACTAACATATGTTTCATACATTTATATTGGTAAGTCATCGCGCGTAATTTTTAAGAAACATAAATAGTTAGCAGAGGATGGTTTCGATCCATCGACCTCTGGGTTATGGGCCCAGCACGCTTCCGCTGCGCCACTCTGCTGTCGCTGCAACC